CCCCTGGGCATTCTCATCCTGATTGATGAAATACATTAACAATTATTGACAATGTGATTCCCGTAGTCCGACAATAAACCCCCACAATTGATTTACCACAGGTTCTGCCAACTCATTCCCGTAATTTTGATAAATTACGTAAAATACAACTCAACCCATGCAATCCCACATTCACCGCATTCACCGCTGTTTTCAAGTTATTTTCAAGTACTGGCGCGCCGCCAGAAACATCTCGTACTTCTTCGCATATTCCCCCGGTTCAACTATCGCGATACACGTGAACTACATCCACAAGCCCAAACATCATACAAATGAAAAAAGGTAAAATGCCAAAAGTATTCGAGACAGATTGTGCTGATGAATTGCTTCACAATTGGAATTAAATCCACCATATGGCGGGCAGATGCATTAGCCGGCTGATACCATGAACTATCCCGTTCGAGAGTCCCTAATGCGTCACATATTTATGGAGAGAAAAACTTCCAGGTACACCAGATAAAGGTGGAAAATATTTGAAACCCGCTCCATCAATGTTTCAGGACTGTTTTCGCGCCTCGGCTCGAGCCACTTTTTTATACTCCACAAGTTTTCATGTAGATGGAGAGAAAAGTTGGATAAAAATTACCTGGGAAAATCGGGGCAAATGGAATTCTAAAAAAAATAATACAATATTGTGGTATCGGTTTGTGGAGCGAAATGGAATTCAACGCAAAAATACCTGTTTGTGGAGGATATTTTACGATTCGTTTGATAAATGAACACGTCTATGGATGCAAAAATAATTCTCCTGCTGAATAAAATTTATCACACCGGTTTGGTTTTTTTTCTTGCAACACGTTCGGTAAAAAATCATTCTCCGTCACAGAAATCTTACGCAGTATTGAGCAATTACTCACGTTCGTTAGGATAGTTTTTGATGGAATGCAGGGTAAATTTCATAGGTTCTAAGATACATATGTAAAGATGCAGCGATTGCAAGAAGAAAAAATTGAATGGCTTCATTTGTTGTGAAGATATCGTTGGACAAAAATTTGGTCACATACGTACACACGTAATCATACATACAGCCATGTTTTCGGAAATGTATCAGGCTAATTCTATAATTGAAGAAAAAAATTACTTTTGCCAAGGAATTATTTTGTTAGGAGCGTATTTCTCTAGGCTAGTCACTCCCAGGTGGTCCATGTTCATTTCCAAATATTACAATTATGCTGAATTATAAGCTGATTATGGTACACATGACTTTGAATGGACACCCCTCATTATTTTTCAATTTTTCCAAACTTTTAAAGATTTTGTTTGGTAGAATAATTTGGAATAATTCTAAATGTTAATAAATGTACTGGAGTTCATTGAAGGGCATATGTAGCATAATTATCCCATAATTCAACGTAATTGTAATATTTGAAGATGGATTTGGACCACCTGGGATTGCCCTCAAGAAATACGTTCCTAATCCACTGTTATAACTTTTTGGAAATTAAGCAATAGTTGCACTTGAATTCTCAATGTTGTGAATTTGAAATCAATTCAAGATCAAATGGTTCATTCATAATTGGGTTTTCCATGTTAGATTACCACTGATATTTCAATGACATCTAAAATTTTCAGATTAATTGCGGAAATTGAACATCACACCGACCTGAATTTTTAGTGCATTGAAAACTTGGAGAAATTTTTGCTTGAATTTTCAATTTATTAAAAAATTTTCAGTATCATGTGGACCTAGAAATTGCAATTCCACTGAATACTCCAGAATTCAATTGATTTTTCAATAACAAAATACTTGATAATTTCGTGTGCATGAGTGATTGTTTAAAATTTACATTTTTTACGTGAAATTTTATGCTTGAAATTTCAAGAGTAATTTTCTAACAGTGCAGTAGATTTCGATACTAGTGCGTAAAAGTGTTTTTGACCCCTGCGAGGTGTTTGCCACCCTCCCAAGTATCAAAGAACGCTTTTCCCACGAGTGTCGAACCCTATTTTTCATCACAATGTGAAAAGTAGGATATTGCGCACGCGGAGTGTGCGTAAAATTTAACTTTACTCACAAGTGATGAAAAAAAATCCTTCTCCCAAAAAAATACTTCCTTGGCAAGATTAGCTGTCATAAAACGTGGAGAAATCATGAAAATTCCGCATTCGATGTTCGGAGTCATTACAATAACTTCCTCCCCTCGTTTCGGGAAATTAATAAAGAGAGAGAGACAAAGTAAGCATTTGTCATTTCCCCCTCGGAACAAGTGTCCAACGCCAGCGTATTTACCCTCGACCTCTTGTCATTGAAACACAAGTCTCCTCACTTGTTCCCAAATAAAACATGAATAATTGAATCGTTTGAGCTACAGATTGCCATCACCTGTTAACCGTTGATACCCCCCGAGATTCATAAATAAACAAATATCAAGAGCACGTGACGCGATGGATTGAAAAAAAAACTGGAAATAAACACGCGAATGAGGTTTGGATAAACAAACATTGGATATTGTCAAGGAGGAAGAAGGGGAAGGCCGTAGTGGCCGTAGCTCCGCCAGTCATCGACCGTTCCAGTGTTTACATTTGAGAAGCAAGAAGCCTGCGCTTGACAGGTCACTCAATACCTGCCTGAACAACTGTCCGGTGGATTTTACGACTGGAAAAGTTCGGCGAACATTCACTCTAAATGCATTAAGAGCACTCACAAGCTCCACTCGATGATCTACGTGCTTTCAAGATCTATTTACCTGGATTAGGTATTCTCCTCGGGCGTACAAAATTCTTGAGACTCCTTATCAGGAAATTGTGAACGCAAACAAGTTGATCGCTCGGGCTCAAGTCATTGGTTCAGTCGAGTTTCGCCTTTCTCACGAGCTTTCAACTCTTTGTCCGTTACTCCTGCCTTCTCTGGCCGGCACTCTTTTCCGTTATTGTGCTACCCCACCACGGCAATTACATTCTCGTGCCGTTTATTTGATTCACTCACAGCTCAATAGTTTGAGCTTACGATTTTGTTTTGATGCGGGGGGAGTTTTTTCAATCGCTCTGTACTGCGAATTCCGGGGCTTACGCGACGCACAATCGTCCTCGGTGGCCCGTAGACGAGTACGCTCGGCCTTCCGGACGAGCCGCGGCCAGGACGCGCCTCATAACGCGGCCTCCGCGCAAGCTCGGCCACACGAACCGGTGGCCTTTCGCATTTCTGTCCGCAAGCACAACAACGCCAAGCCACTGCGGCGTTCGACAACCCTGCCAGGTTTGTTTTGTTATTCCTCTGCGGTTTTGGTTTCCTTTTATTCGGGGTGAATTATTCAACTTTTGTTCAGGACAGAATATTCGATGGTTAAGCTCGAATTTCATGTATTTCATTGGGGTTTGAGATTGTTTTGGCTTTGGAGAGTTGGGGGACTGCCAAAGTTCGGGGTTTTAGTAAATCGATGGAGGATGGATTTTTATTTTATATTATAGGGAAATCATTATTTTAGTGTTCATTGGTGGAGTTTCATCAGAGCTTTTATATGAAACCATCGGTCTGTGTCTTTCCTATTGAGGGACTTTCCACTGCTCAGTTGGGAAGACTTCTGGTTTACTGTTGGATGAATTTACCGACGTGGAAAATTTGTTTTTATTTGGGAGTGGTAATAGAGATTGTTAATATACCGCCGATTAGTGTACAAGGAGTTGTCGGGGGAGTACCAGTAGATGGCGCTGAGGGATCGGATTGTGAGGCATTCATAACCTCACAAAAATCCATTTGTTATTGATCACAGGGAGGATTTCGTGGAGACTCTATAAGGTAAATAACAGTTTATTAACGTGTAATTGCTTTCATGGAGTTTGGAATTCAATTGTACTGATTTGGGAACGTTTATTGGGGGTGACAAGTAGTTTTAACAGTTGTAGGGACATTCGACAGAAGTTAACCTCACAAACATTTTTTTTTTTTTAAAGGGACCGATGTCTATTATTAGAAGTAGGGAAGGGTGGGGTAAAACGGACACTTTAGACTTTTCTAAAATTATTCATAACTCAGAAACAAATTGATCAATTGAGCTCAATTTAGGCTCGTCACAAAGGAAAAGAATTGTTCTTTGTATTGAACAACAAATTTTATCAACATTTCAACCCCTCATTAACATTTAAAAAAAGTCAAAAGTGTCCGTTTTACCTAACCTCCCCTACTAGAACGAATTGGAATTGGAATTCCAATTGGAATTGGAATTGGGTGAACAGTAATTATGAGATAGTTGGGACATAATAAGTTCATTCAGCAGGAAAAAATTAATAAACATGCAAATGCGATGGAATAAAAATACTGAAAATATTGAAAAATGGGTTTATTGCACAGGAAAACCAATAAAAATAATCAACAAATGGGAAGGTATACAGAAACATTGTTGATAACAAAAATAACTAAATTTTCGATCTTAATATTTTATTTTGCATTTGTGGTATCTGTTAAGTATAATCCTACAGCTTAGAACAACCCATAGTCGAATGATTACTGTAAACAAGTTTAACGAGGGCTCAATATCATTCAGATTCGGTAATTTCTGTTGGATGAAAAATTGTGAAACCCAGACGAAATTGCAGCTATAGTAAATTCGTTCTGTTCGCCATTTGAACGATTATTTTATTTGTGCCTGAGAACGGACTCATTTTGATCAAGGAAACATGTTCATTATGTACATAATTCTATATATATACATATTGTTGTAGCTGTATAAACCTTCTAGGTTTGGGTAAGCTTAAATAAAAAAAAAAGAAACATTTTCATGTTTAAAAAAAAGTATTGAACGTGAATAAAAATCTAGCTTTATTTTATTTCATTTTTTATTTTGGTTTTATGTGAATTCATTTATTTAATTCCAACAATTTTATGAAAAAATGCAGTCACTCGGGAAAGAATTACAGTATGTTCCATCAGACTTATTACATTTCCTACTACAGTTCAACAAAATTCCTGGTTGCTATGAAGGCATTGAGAATCACAAAAAATGGCCCCAAACCGCATGAATTTGTTACAAAAGCTCTGAATTTTCTGAAAAAAAATCCTCGAATTGTCTTCCTAACGCCCATTATTTCCCTTTAGAAAATCTAGGAAAGATTCGCCAAACAATACAGAAAAAGAAATATCCTTCCCTGCAACGAAATGCAATCAAAAATAGAGTTTGAAGATTGCAATTAATCACGATATTCGGTGCAACCGAATTTAGCTCGTATTTATCCTCAAATAAAGAATTACTTTCACCCCGCGATTTAGAGATTAATCTCGGCGAAATTCTAGGATGAGACACACGCCATTTATCTCACGAACAATTCTCGTGCGAGACGGAAACGTTGACAGTGCATTTCGTCTGTTGAATCGAATTTTGGGGAGTGAGGGACTTCTTGAACAATGGCGTAGATGCAGGTACTACGAAAAGCCGACTCAAGTGCGAAGAAGAGTTAACTACGAGAAGTGCAAGGCGCTTTACGACGAAGATATGAACAGGAAGATTCAGTTTTTGCTGAGGAAAAACCGTGTCGATCCGTTTCCGGGATGTCTGTAGTGCAAACAAAATTCATGGAAAAAGTTGCGTCTCTTAAGAGTTATTGATTAAGTTATGATGTAATTCAGTTGAAAAAAAATCTAAAGGAATAAATTCAATCGCTATTGGTGATGAGTTTGAATGGATTCATTTAATGGGAAATTGGGGGAAATTGAAATTCTACAGGGTTTGGAGCAATTTAGGGACTGACGAGTGGCGCCCTACTATTCTGTATGAGCAACAGACCGATGGCAATGCAGATTATCCATCGATTCTACATAATTTAAGGTAATTATTTCGAAATCGGGTTACATGGATCATTCTAATCAGGCGGGTCATTCAATTTCATGGGGCGTACCAGGAGTTATTGAGATGTATATTCCGATATCCAACTGTTAAGTCTAATTATTTCCTATTTCGATATTAAATTTCCGGGGTAAACCTATTAATATTGTGCGTTCTATTTCGTGAGATCCTCGGATTCATCGATTTCAGATATTCTTGATGAGATATTTATATTCCGAAGATGGGGTAGGAAGGGATTGGAGTTTTTTTAGCTGGAGGATTTGAAGCTATTGGTTTACTTCGCTGTGTACAAAGAAATGATAATGCATATGTATCGACTGAGCGATACTTCTGGGCTAAAAATTAAGATTACTCTGATGAATTCAAGACTAATATTTTATTTTTCGATTTATATTTATAATTTGTGATACAGAACAACAAATGTAATTGATACATCTTAGTTTTGAGGCTTTCGCGGCGATGATTAATTGCTATATCATTGGCTTTCGAATGGATGCCTATCCCCGAAGTGCTGAAATTAAACGCGGCGTCGATCCAGAAGCCAATGATATAATAATTAATGGTGATACACAGTGGTTTTCTTCTATTTCAGTAGCGAAGTGGTAAAAGGAGATGAGTCAATTTTGACTATTAACCAGTTTTCAATGAATATCTTGGAATCTAAGGGAGATGGCAAAATTCTTGTTATAACATTTTTTGTAGAGCCGATTGAGTGCTACAATAAATGTAATTACGAAAATTTCGCTATCTCCCTTACGTTCGGAAATATTCCTCAAAAACTCAACTGGGAGATAAGTTGACTTAGACCGTTTTACCACTTCGCTACTGATTATTACTTTCAGTAATAATTTTCTATCTTTTCATTTTTGAGGACGTCGGGAAGGAATCAATCAGCGGAAGGATTTTTTTATTCAAGTCGTGCATATAGATTGGTATCAATCATGAATTTAGTAATGTTATGAGTAGATTTTTTTTATTGAAGCATTTCTGAACAATTACACGGAGAGAAATGTTCAGCAAAAATTACGGAACTCACAGTTCGCTTACCGATTACGGAACTGACTCAGAAAATTTAAGTGACGGCATCGTAATTTTTCACAGGAGAATCAGGTAAGAATTAGGGATCGCTCTGGAAAAATTTTGTGGCACTCCCGTAAAATTTCCTAAAACCACATTTCGCTCCGGAATTACGGAAAAGATACGTCATTTTTAATGAATATTTCTCTCCGTGTACAGTTCAATTTGCATACATATTTCTCGTCATAAAAATGAGACCATGTGAACGATTTACAGAATGTGGTAACTTTGAACTGTTAACAATACATTCCAGATTTTTATGGAACATTTGAGAAGAAACTCGTTAATTATAACAAGAGAGTTTTGGTCTAGTTTAATTAGGAATTCTCGTGTCCATATAATCGCTTTCCGTAGAAAATTATTATGACGAACAATCGGAAATATTCTGTCTCAAATTTTCTATTTTAATAATTTCTTAGTTCGATTATCTTGTCTGCCATAATTGTATGAGCTTCCTTCTGCAACTCCTCAGGGATTGCATTTCTTAAATTATTTTCCATGGAAATCTCCGTCACTCTGATATTTTCATTATGAAAACTCTGGGGGGAGGATAATCGTCTATTCCATTTTCACTTATTACGAAAATAAAATTGAAGTTTGGAGATAATTTATCACTGGCTTTCCATGCTCCTGTGCTCTAGAAAAACTTGGCAACTGTATGAGCCGCTTTCCCTCGCTCACCGTATCTATTCAATTTTTGCAAAGTTGGCGTGACCGCTGCCAAGAAGCCAGGGCTGTACGTTTTGTCTTTTCTCACTTGTGCCTGAATTGCGATTCAACACTTGGATATGGTGGGGCGGGTGAAAAAACTTTTCGGGGAGAGTTATGAGGGTTCTTCTTAGCCTCACGCGAGGCTCCGGAACATTACTGACAATTTCAGGAGATAATTTATGAAAATGTAAATTACAGCAGTTTTCTTTTTCATCAAGGGCTGTCCACTTTTTTCGAGTTTCAGAAATATTTGGGAAAAAATGTCTGCAATTTTTTTATGCGTGAAACAGATGTAGATATGCCTCAGTATGTAATGGTTTTGAATAATATTTATTATTCATTTATTGCGTGAAATTGAGTGATTCTAATTTCCATGAGATTGATTTTGCGGAAGATCATCACGCACGAATTCAATGGAAAATTCTAGTTGATTTCAGTTGAACTGTTGTTGAGAATTCTATC